AAATCTGAAATCCTAGCTCTTGGGAGGCTGTAAACAGGAGAATCACTACAAGTCCAATCTAGTAGCGAGATCCTGAACTCCCTGCAGACACTTCCCTAAGGAGATAGTTCAGCAACATAAGTGTCTGCCTGGCAAGCACAAGGTCCCAAGTTCAATGTGTGTGTGTGTGTGTGTGTGTGTGTGTGTGTGTGTGTGTGTGTAAGTGTATCACACATACACACACAGACACACATGAAAAAGAAAACAGAAAAATCAAAGATAATCCATTATTCTCACCTCTGCTTCATAAACACTCCTATACATTACTTAGTTTTTTCATATTCCAGAAAAGAGAATAAATAAAACAGAAAACTATAGGCATATGAATCAGAAACATGCAATTTGGCAGGTATTTCCTGAGGGCTGGGCTTGTGCTCCATTTTCTCCCTACCAGAGGACGTTTCAGAGGTCATAAAATGGAGCTGTCAAAATGGAGCCTGGAAAGGCCTGCCAAATAGCTCAGTGGATTAGAGCCTCTGCAAGCAGGCGCAGGGGCCAGGAGTCAGATCCCCAGGCCTGCCGTGCCTGCCCTACTCCCAGGGCACACTGAGACTGCAATTGAAACTGGGTATGGTGGCACATGCCTGTAATCCCAGCTTTTGGGATGCTATAAACAGGTAGATCACTAGAGACCCTAAACACACTGTAGACCCTTCCCTAAAATACAAAAAATAAATAAATAAATATAGGACGAACTATTTTTGTCTGCCCCAAAATTAGATAACCTAAAAAAATTTGGGCAAGTCCATGAAAGCACACTATTCACAAGATTAAATCATGCATGAATACGCATATCTAGTGAGACTGAATCAGTATCCTGAGTAAGATGACTTCATAAGAAATTATACCAAACATTTGAGACAACACTAGTGTTTCTCAAAGTCATTTGAAATTGAATAAAAAAAAAAAATTCCTAACTGACTTTATGAAGTTGGTATTACCCTGATACTAAGAACTAGAAAGACACAGCAGGAAAATAAAAATGTAGCCCAAAAATTTATATATAGGTAAATTGGTGCAAAAAAATTTTTCCAGGGACATGGTAGGAGATAATGTTCAGCAGCATAGAAAAATAATTGCACAAGTTACCAGTTAGATTACTCCTGTCATGCAAGAATGTCTCATCATAAAAAATTCAACATGATTATTAATAGATTGAAGAGGGAAAATGCACATTTATCTCAAGGTAAATTTAGGAAATTAACAGAATTCAAAAACACTAACCAAATTGTGATAAAACACTAAACAATTTAGGTTTTTTGTCAAAATGATAAGTAGGACAATGAACATTATTTTCTGGTAAAAGCTTGAAAACTTTTCCTATAAAGTCAGGAGTACAATAAAGATACCCATTTTCACAACTTCTGTTAACAATAGTATAGATGTTTGAGACATAGTACTTAAGAAAAAGAAATAAAGATATTTGAAATGAAGAGGCAAAATTATCTGTTCTCAGAAGGCATGACTGTATTTGTAGAAAATCCTAAGAACTACCCAGACACATATACAACAGGGCAAATAAATGTATCTAAACTTTTAAGACACAAAATCAGTGTAAAAATCCATTATATTTTTAAACAAATACAATGAACAACCTAAAAAGGAAATTAAGAAAATGATTCCTATTAAAATAGGATAAAATGCTTAGACTGATTAGGAATAAGTTTTAACTTAGAGAGAAAAGATTTGTACACTGAAAACTGTAAAGCATTACAAAAATTTAAAGATATTACTAAATGAAAAGACATCTTATATGTGATAGGTGACTGACTTTTTTAAAATGGAAATATTATCTAAAGTTATACAGTAAGTCAAGTAATCACTAGAAAATCCCAAAGTAACAATTCTGCAGAATTTGAAAACCCAGTCCTGAAATTCATCTTGGATCAACTGACACTAACTAAGCAAACAACCCTGAAAAAGAAAATATAAGTTTGAGCATTCACAGTTTCTAATTTTGAAATTTGCTGCAAAGCTGTATTAATTAAAACACATGATATGATATATAAATCAGTAGAATAGAGTACAGAAACCAGAAAAAAAATCCTCACTTATATGGTTAAATGATTTTCAACCAAGATAACAGAACAGTTCAGTTGGGAAATGATAGTCTCTTCAGTAAAAACCGAAAAGTCAAATGGAAAAGGATGAAAATGAACTTGTCCTTATACCTCATAAAAAAATTAACTCAAATGTCTTCATGGTCTAAGATTCTATTTGGACAAGAATTTTCTGAACATAACATTAAAATAATAGGAAATAAAAGAAAATTAAGTAAAGTGCACTTCATCAAAATTAAATTTTTCTGTGTCAAAATTATCAAGGTGTAGAAACAAAATTCCAAATTGGGAGAATAATACTTGCAAATCAAATAAGTAATGGTGCGCATACTTGTAGCCTAGGCATTTGGAAGGTTGTAGAAGAATAATTGCTAGATCCCAAGAGTCAAGACTATCCATTTTTTTTAAAGTGCAATTCATATATCTGATAGAGGATTAATACACATAATATGTAAAGAATTCCTCCTCAACAGTAGCAAGAAATAAATGACCCAATTAAAAATCAGGCAAATGGGCTGGGGAGATAGCTCAGTGGTCTAAGTGCCTGCCTGGCAAGCACAAGGACCAGGGTTCAATCCCCAGTACTGCATACCATACTGGCCCCTGAAACGGGTCGTGGTGAAACACCTGTAATCCCAGCACTGGGAAGGCTGAGACAGGAGAATCACTATGAGTCTGAGCTGCATAGAGAGACCTTGTACCAAATAAATCAAGAAATAAAATTTTTAAAAATCAGACAAAGAATTTAAATAAATATTTCTCCAAAGAGACATAAAAATTAGCCACTGTGTAGGTGAAAAGATATCCACAGTTCTAGCCACTAAGGCATGCAAATCAAAGCCATAGTCAAATGCTCCACAAGACGAAATTAGAATTATTAAATTAAAAAATGAAAATAAAAATTATTGCTGACCATTTGCATTTGAACCCATGTGTGTTGCTGACAGAATGGTGAAAAAGAGTGGAGTCTTCATTTGCTCAAAAAAAAAATACATAGAATTACTGTGCAAGCCCAGAAATTTCACTTTTAGATATACACCTTAAGGTATTTCAACACTGAGACTCAATTAGATGCTTGTATACCAATAACCAAAGAAGCATTATTTGCAATACCTAATGGGTAAAACAACTTAATACCAGTCAGAAGATGAATGAATAAGAAATGTGTAATATATCTCTGTATATATACACACAAAATATAATGATTAGCTTATAAAAAGCATAAAATTCAGGTACATGATAAAATAATAGATGACCTTGAAAACATTCTGCTAGCTAATTAAGTAACTTAAACACAAAAGAATAAATATTGTGTGATTCCATTTATATTAGGTGAGAAGAATAGGAAAATTCACAGAAAAATAAAACAGAATAACAGCTGCCAAGGAATGATGAGAGAGTTAATAAGGAATTGCTGCTTAATGGATATAAAGCCTTCCATGGGGCCGGGGAGATGCCTCAGTAGAATAAAAGCTTGCCTGGCAAGCGCAAGGGTCTGAGTTCAATCCTCAGTTCTGCTAAAAAAAGAAAACAGTCTTCTTATGGAGCAATGAGACATTCTGAAGATGATCAGCAGTGACAACTGCACAATGCTCATGGACTCACTGTCACTGGTTTCACAAGGAAAAGATTATATATCAATACAACAAAATTTAAAGTGAATAATTAATGAAGCAGAACTAGATGGAATATAAAAAAGTTATAAAAGCATTTGCAATATTTACTATTCCCTTGAAAAGTTCAACCATAACAGAAGATTTCTAGGTAAATAAATGCACCCTGAGACCAGATTTCTGAGAAATCAGTTGGGCATGCTTGTGTAAGTATCACATTGTCTCTCTGGTGTGAGAAACTAAATGGGTGAATAATGACAAGAATGTATACTATACATTGGGAAATATGAAGAAAATGTTCAAATGGAAAGAGAAACAAGAGAAAGAGAAAGGGAATGAAAGGAGAGGAAAAGTAAAAAAAGAGAATAGAAGAAAAATGGAAAGAAAGCTTTTATAAATAAATAGAAATGAGAGATCAAACTGGGAAAGGATGGAAAAAGGAATCAAATTATATTTGGAAGGAAGGAAGGAAGGAAGGAAGGAAGGAAGGAAGGAAGGAAGGAAGGAAAGAAGGAAGGAAGGGAAGAAGGGAGGGTGATGGAAGGGAGGGAAAGAGGGAGAGAGGAAGGGAGGGAGAAAACAGGAGCCACTAGATGAAGCAAGATGGAGGGCATTGGATATGATAGTCCTATGGTGGACTGCAAAAGGAAATATAATTTGAAGAAGGATGACCTCTGACTTGGAGATAGA